ATTTACCATATTTAGAATTAGATTCAGTGAAGTCTTTATTGGTAAGTACAGTAATTACCAAATCCATTCAAAATCACAATCTCATATATTACAAAATTAGAAATCTCATGACCAGAAAAATCACAATATCAACCAAGAATGAAATCGCCAGAGAATAAACCTGCACAAAGAACTGACAACCACTTTGGATCTACTCGTCCACAATCTCAAATCCATGGCCAACAAGGAAATCTCTGAGAAAGAACTCGAGTCATCTTTCTCTCTCTGACATCACTGGATATTTTCTCCATGGCTTGTGACTTCATTGTGCACGTCTCGCCGTCGATGGATCTTGGCCAAAAATTGGAAAAAAGGGACTACCTCCGCCTGCAATGATGGATACTACCAATAGTCTCACGTTGCACCTAAAACCGCCTCCGTCCATCCTCCATCGCAATAATTATGCGATAGTTCATGATATCCAACCCAGGCTCGAATCGCACGGTCCCGGAGCAATCTCCGACAAGGACAATCAACGGTGAGATCCTTCAGGACTGGCAACGCAACCTTACAGATCTGGAAAAATCCGGTTGCGATTCTCCAAAAACTCGCAGCTTCGTTGATTTGTCGCTCCGGTCTTCGCAGCTTCGAATCTGGTTTGCAACAAATCTACTACTCTTGACGATAATTGACAACATCTCGAAGTGAACCAAAATTGCAAAGGCGAGCTCCGATTGGTGTTATTTACGACGGCGATGAGAAAACTGAGAGAGACGGTGAGAGAAAAGGATGAGGGAGAGAAGAATTAAGAAAGAAAGCTGGTAGAGAGAGAGAGATCTAGAGGTACATGATTCATAAGAGAGAGAAAGGGGACTGAGTTTTACTCAGAGGAGAAAAAAAGTGAAAACCTAAAAATGAAAGGGTAAATTTGGAAAAGAGCATTTATTTTTGGAATTAAAAATTAAAACATGATATTATTTACCAACTTTTAAAAAATATACTATATACTTCAAACGCTCTTATGGAATATACTATTTGGTCTATTTTCCCTTTCTCTCTAATAGGTTCTGGAAAATGAACTATCAAAAAGTTCATATTTTCACCAATTAGATCTATATTAAAAACAATTTGTTCTTTAATCTAATGACATTTTGACTAGATTCAATAGTTAGAAATAAAGAGCCCCAAAATAATAATGAATAAGGAGCTTTTATGGTAGGACAAACATTTTTACTTTATAGGTGGGGATTCTTATTTTTATACGTTTTCGATTATTTTTTAACAGTCAATTTTGTGCATTTTCATAAAATTACCCCTACTCCAAACCAAATCATAATCTTAAAACACAAAATTACCCCTACTCCAGACCATATCATGAAAATACATATTCTAGCATACGATTTACTAAATAATAACGAAAACAAAACCAAACTACCTAACACATTTTTTCGTTTTTCTCTATTTGTTTAGAAAGATTGATCTCTTGATTTTTTTTAAAGAAAAAATAATCACTCTCTTCACAAGGTAAAAGCCACTACGATGTGACTTATCGTATTTTTATTTTACCTTAGAACCTTTTTTGATACGTCAATATATTAATAGGTCAAGTTTTTTATCCATTAAATTTACATAAAATCATGTAAAAATTAAAAAATATTCAAATCTTACGGTTAAAAAAAGTAAACCTACTAATACGTTTGACATACTAAAAAATCTCGCTTCTTACTTTTAAGTCCGCCGTTACCTCCACCCTTCCTATGTTTTGTCTGAAATATTCTTGGTCCTCCGTTGACCACTCTATTATTGAACTAATGATAATTGAAGTTGCAATCTTGTTGACTCCAAATTGGGAAATGTTATATAACATCCCCATCCTTTTTATTGGACATTGATCTGGTCACACGTTTTCTACTACTTTCATCGAGTAATTTGGAAGGAAAATTCTTAGCAGCCAAAGGGGATATCTCCTTGTTAGACAACAGGAGTGGGTCCCACTAAGAATGTTGGGCATGAAAAATAGAGACAAGTTTCTCATATTTATTGAGGATTTTGTTTTCTTTTGAGGACTAGTTAGATTTGTGTGCTTCACACTTGTAAGCTGTTAATGGAGGTTAGATAATATTGCATATCTTTAAGTATTATAATCTCGTTTGGTTAGTAATTTTTGAGTATGACTTTTGTTAACACAATAAAAAATGAATAATGACTGATTTTTTGTGTTCATTGACATTTTTTTTTCGATAGGGAAGATTCAAACTCTCGACCTCATTAATTAAATTAGTGTAAAATTTATCGCTTAACTATATTTCCACTCATAATATAAGAAATATTAAGAACATTTATTTTTTAAGAAATGTTAACGTAATATTTTTTGTTCCTCAATGTAATCTCATATGTATGGTAGTGTAAAATTCATTTTGTTTAAGTACGACACTCAATAAAATATAATATTTCACTATGTTACATTACACTTATTTTAGTGTTATTATGTTACACTAAAAAATTACAAGGACGTACGAAAATGTTACGCTTGCATTATGGTACGCAATAAGAGTTAAGAGAATATTGTTCATTTCGCCGATTCGAGTTTAGAATTTGAGTTTTACTACAGTAAAAATGTCTCAGAAATAATCACATATAACTTTTTTGCTACAGTAAAAAACTCTCACATAAAGTCATATCTCAACTCAAATTAAAAACTCGAATCAACGAACTGAACGGACCCTAAATTTATTATATAAGATATTGTCTACTAGTTGATGGTCTATTTATATATAACTATAAACATTAACTTGAAGCCAGAAGGAACAAGTATAAATATGTGACGTACAAGCTAATCCTTCGCAAGTCACAACATTTACATAACAGTAAAATAAAATAAAATCTCTAATTAACGCCTTTGATAATTATCATCTTATATAATTCTTTATTTTCTAATTTGGCCAATTATAAAATAACCGGTCAACTAGTACCTTATTATTCCTATTTGCTATTTTGCTAAAGAACTATTACCTTATTGACCTAGTCAACATTTAAAAAAACATATTAAGGCCCAACTATTTCCTTATTTTATTTTAAAGGGAATAAAGGGTCCAATTATTCCTCAAGAGAGAGAATACAAGGAAACTTATCAAATGTCGGCTGTTACATACGTGTGCTTTTCCGTCAGAAAAATAGAGAATTTATCTTTAAGATTATATTAGTTTGAATATTTATTTTTTATTTTTAATAAATACTCTTTTATTAGTGTAATTATTTAATTAAAAAGTTATAAATTAAAAATAAAATATAAAAATCATGACTCATACACTTTTAAAAAATATATGTCAAGATTACCCTTACGTTCTTTATCCATAAACGCTTAAAACCTTTGGCCGTGTTTGGAATTGATTCCGCTTTTATTTTTCACATTTTCGAGAAAAAAAAATAAAAACGTTTTCAAAACAGCATTTGGCGCAATAAAAATGAAAAAGGGAAATGAAAACGATTTTTTAGTTTAGTGTAAAATGAGAGAGAAATGAAAAATAGTCGTTTTTCATTTTTTATTTTTGTTTTCTCCTCTCTCGAGTACAGAGAGAGAAAGAGATACATTAATGATTTTTTTTACACTGAAAATAATCTCTTGATAAAACTACCAAATGCATTTTGAAAAATGATTTCTGTCTAAGATTGAAAACGTTTTCATTTTTATTTTTATATAATAAATAAAATCATTTTGAAACGAGTTCTAAATACGCCCTTTAAATCATTGAAATTTGAAAATAGTTCCAAAATAGAAGGCTCTTCCGTCTCCAACCCCACCAACTTGCGCTGGAAAACGTGAAAAAAATGCAACAAATAGCCCACTAACCAAAGTATTATATATGCCACGGAGGATTATAGTGTAGTGGTAAGAACGCTTTTATTAGATCTTTTTTATCTATTCTCTTAGAATTTGATACTCCGCACCCGCGCGTTGCTGCCCTGCTCTTTGTGGGAAATTAAGTGGGCCTCCGTGGGCCTCACATGATGCAATTGAGTGAAAACTGGTTGGATTATCGGCGAGAGACTAGTTCAGGTCATTTCCACATATTCAGTGGTCCCTGAGACTTTAGCCGAAAGGACTAGAAGACATAAAGTGCACTACCAGACACCATATCCTTTTTTAGAAGCAAAAAAAAAAAAAAACCAAACTTTTATATATATCTTACTCCATTTCGTTTTTAGTAATATTATATTTTCTAAAATAGAAAATTCCCATTCTGAAAATGTTCTCCATTCTCAAAAATAAATAAGAGATTATTTGTTTTATATACTCAAACTCATATTATTAATTTTATTATAGTATTTTTTATAAAAAATTAAATTTTAAACGTCATAATTAAGAATCATTATTTAAATATACATTCTAAATAGACCCTAAAAACGCTAACTCAAAACCTAACTTTTATATATCAATTAATATGATATGTAAGTTATTATATTTTTTATTAATAAATATAATCTTTTATTAATTAACGTGATAATATTTTAAACAATTACTTATATAAAAATAACAATTCATATATTGCATTGATTGATATACAAAAATTAATATTTGATTCGGTGACGTTAGCATTATTCAATAAGGGGATATTTAGTTAGAGAATTTAAACCATAATTTAAATTATGATTCATGATTCGTTATAATATTTTTTCTTATAAAAATATACATAAATTAAAAATAATTTTAATCACGTAATTTAAATATACGAAGTAAACGCGTCTAAAATAATCGGTGAGAGAGAGTAATTACCATTTCTTTAATTAAATAGAGGAGCCAAGTCTGATTCGTTACTTTGTTCAGTCAAAAGCGAACGCGTTTGACTTTTCCAGTTCAGACCCCACACATCTCTGTCTCTCTCCACTTACATTGAATTTTGCTCCTTTTCTCTCTATCCTACTTTCCCTTTCTCTCTCTGCTCTACTTTCCCGTTCTTTTTCTCTCCTTCCAAGCAACATCCCAAACGCCTTCACTCTTCTCCCGTTTATATATACTCCTACCCTCACTCCCTCACAACACACAGCCGAAAAACGCCACAGACAAGAAGCGAAGAAAATTCAATCTGAGTCTTCTTCTCTCTGTAGACATTTCTTGCTTGAAATTTTCAATTAGCGATCTCGAAATTCAATCATGTTTAGCGAAGATCAGAATCCGAGTCGCAAACCGATCGTGATCAGAGAAGTTTGGGCTTCGAATCTCGAGGCCGAATTTGAGTTGATCGGAGATCTGATCGACCGGTTTCCATACATCTCCATGGATACGGAGTTTCCCGGCGTCGTCTACCGTGCGACGTTCGATCAGTCAAAGCCGTATGCTTACCGTCTCCGACCGTCCGATCACTACAGGGTTCTGAAGTCCAACGTCGACGCGCTCAGCCTCATCCAGGTCGGCCTCACGCTCTCCGATGCCGACGGGAACCTCCCTGACCTCGAAGGCGGGGAGAGCCGGTTCATCTGGGAGTTCAACTTCCGCGACTTCGACGTGGCGCGTGACCTCCACGCTCCGGACTCGATCGAGCTACTGAAGAGGCAGGGGATCGACTTCGACCGGAACCGGTCTGAAGGGATCGACTCGGCCCGGTTCGCGGAGCTGATGATGTCGTCGGGGCTTGTCTGCAACGACGCCGTTAGCTGGGTGACTTTCCACAGCGCGTACGACTTCGGATACCTCGTGAAGATCCTCACGCGCCGCTGCCTTCCCGGCGCGTTGGCTGACTTTCTGAAGATTCTCAGGGCTTTCTTTGGGGATCGCGTGTACGACGTGAAACACATGATGCGGTTCTGCAACAGCCTCTACGGCGGGTTGGACCGGGTCGCCAAGACGCTGGAGGTGAACCGGGTGGTCGGGAAGTGTCATCAAGCCGGTTCGGATAGCCTGCTGACGTGGCACGCGTTTCAGAAGATAAGGGACGTGTATTTCGTGACGGATGGGCCAGAGAAGCACGCTGGCGTTCTCTATGGATTGGAGGTCTTCTGACTTGTGATTAGTTGACTAAGGAAAATAAAAGAGAAAAAAAAATTAAGGAAATATTCACTATTTGTTAATTCAATTTGTAAATTTTAGTTGAAAATACTGTGTGGATTGAATTCTTTTCCTAACGCACGCTTTCGTTGACTTGACTATTTTTCGGCACACCTACGAAAACGACATATTCCATCCATTGAAATTTTTTTTTTCCTCTCCATATTCTCGATGAATATTAAAAGCGAGCAAGAATATAAATGGCAAGATGAACGACGACAAAGGAACCGGATGGCGTTAGAGCATCTTAGTGCAATATTAAATTCGTATGCTAACACCTAATTTTAACATTTGAGTAGGAAAATTATTTTTCAGGATAATGTTATTTTTTATGTTGAATTTAACATATGTGATAGCATTTAAACATTGGTATTTATATTGGAGATTGGTCTTATTTGTGCTTCAGGGTGAGGATGCGTTGATATGGTGAAAATTTTCTACTTTGGGCTGTCGGCTGCCCAGCTTGTCACAGCAAGACTTCTTGTTTTGTAGGTTTAGAGATGGTAATTTTACACATTAATCTATTTATCCGCAGGGACTTGATGCGAAAAAAATTATTTTAAACAAATTTGAATTATAAACGGGTTAAAATTTTAACCCGACCCGTGTCGCGGGGTGGAAACGGGTTTAAAAGTTTCCGACTCTATTTTCCGTTTACCTATCCTGTTTAATTATATGCTATAAATATGTTATGTATAATATGCTATAATATATAATTTTAAGTATAATCTATTCCATAATATATATGAAAATTTAAAACTACTTTTTTTTTTATTTTTAAGGTAATGTTTTGTATATTTGTATTTTAAATTATATTCATTTTACAATTAAAATAACTAATCGGGTAAATAGGATACCGTGAATACTCTGAAATCTATTATGGGAAAATCTATCTCGTAACCCGTCAACTTATACGGGTTGTGCGTATAATAAGTATTTTTGTTCACAGGGCGAGTTGGCGAGAAGACCACCCCGCCCCATATTTAGTAAGTAATCTTTACTAAATAATTAGTAAGTAGTGATCAATGATTAAAATATTACAAAATTAATAATTAATAATTTTAATTAATTAACCATTAATTATTAATTAACTATTAATTAATTATTAATTATAATATCATTACTTCTTAGTATATATTACATAATTAATTATCAATTATTATCAATAAATTACTAATAATTAATAATTAGGTATAATTATTAAGGTAAAGTCTATAATCCGGCACCAGATTAGAGCGTCACATGTATATTTCTTTTAAAAATATGTATATTTTCTCTTAAAAATATGTATATTTCATCTTAAAACATGCATAATGTGGATTTGTCTAAACACTTATATACATGTTTTAAGAGGAAATATACATATTTTTAAGAAGAAATATATATTTTTAAAGGAAATATACATGTGTCGCTCTAATCCGGTGCCGGATTAGAGACAATTCCTAATTATTAATGATGTACTATAGCATGTTTGATAAGACTTAGATAATGAAACAGATTGTTTTCCTTTTTCTTCGCATCAATAGGTCGTTTGAAAACTGTACAAGCTATTTAGAAAAATAAATATGATAATTTTGATAAATATATTTTAAAAGTGTATTGGTCAAAATTTTTATTTTTTACTCTTAATTAATAATCTTTTTAATTAAATAATTACACTAATAAAAAAATATTTATCAAAAATAAAAAATAAACGTCAAACTCAAACATTCTTAAAAATAACTTCTTCATAATTCCAAATACCTACCCCATGCCAACAAAGCGCTATTTAAGAATCATTTTAAAAAATAACTTCATCGAGAAACGTGGAAAACATTTTTTAGACAAAACAAATGGCGCGACTTGATTTTGACCCTGTGTTTTAAGAAAAGAGAAAACTATCCTTTATATACAAATAACATCAGAAATGGTCAAAAATATAGAAAGACAAAAGTATCTTTAAGCTTATCATTGAATACGGAATAAAAAAAAGGATTTGAGAGGAAAAGAATTACAATCGTGGGATTACCGGAGGTGAGTCTTGCGCACCAATCTCATGCGACATTGACCAATGAGTCTCACACAAGAGCCGCACGCGCTATAAGACGTTTCTTGCACAAGCTACACAAAGATCTCAATTAAGGGTGGTAATCGTATTATGAGTTGTGTTCGTATTAACTCATTTATTAATTATATTAAAAAATATTAATTTAAATATGATATGTTTATTAAACGTGTTAAAAATATTAATTTAAATATGATTCATTTATTAATCGTGTTAAACGTGTCAACCTGTATAATCCGTTTAAATTAATAATTAAATGAATAACTAATATAATAATGATATTTAACACAGTTGAAACATGTTTAATATATTTATTAGTTAATTTATCTTTTCCTTTAAGAAAAATAAATAAATTTTACCAACAAATATTAAAATTCACATTTTTTTGTGTCATATAAACTTTCATGTTATATCATATATCATTATATTACAGATGACATATATAGTTAATCGTGTCAATTCATGTCACTTCGTGTTAGGAGATCAACCCTGATATGAACCTCGCCAATGACGCGATGAGACCCAACACCAAACGCGGATCACAACCCCAAGATCTTCAAGTTGCAAGATTGTTGAGTCTTAACCCGTTGTCTATCAAAATGCGAATCAAGAACTACGAAGGTTGAAGAATGCCACACCAAGATTACCAATAAACACCCGTTAATATCAATGATAAGTCCGATTGTTTGAACGCCGCAAGAACAATACTTGATAAGTTCAAAGTTTTCTCAAGAAACCAGAAGCACGAATATAAGAAAACTCAATATCAATAATAATTCATTAACTAAATTAAAAACAAGTTTAGCATCCCTATTTATATAGGTTGCGATTTTAATCCTAAAGAAAAAACTAAAAACGTTTAATTATCTAAGCCTCAAGCCCAAACTCGGATTCTATTCCAAGGCCAATTCGACCATAAAACTTTTCCCCTAGGCCCAATTCGGCCAACCCCTTCTAGGCTCCTATTTGGCCAGCCCTTGTTAAACTCTTTGCACTTTAACTTGAATTTCTAGAACCTTAATCATTGTGACTAGGTTCTCTTCACTCGGATTTGGACTTGTGTTGGGCCTCCATGTGTTTGTCGTATCACCAATTTGTTAAACCAGCCCGTTCAATGTTTCTTTGAAGTGTTTGACTTTAAGTCTTGTCACCGGACCACTTGGTAAACTCAATGGATCTCCTGAATTTTTCGCCGCATGCCCTTGTGCTCCACCTATCGCATCAGAGTTCAACCCTAACCCAACTCATTTATTAATCGTGTTAATTACGTCAACTCAATTATGACCCAAAGTCATTATAATAAACTTAAACTCGCTAACTTCGTACGAATTTTGAGTCGTGTCGTTATGTCGCTACTCAGATTGTCAGCACTAATTCCAATGACCCTCAACATGACGATAACTGGTCAAAGGGTCTTGCACAAACATGAAAGAGAAAGGAGTCTCAGTTCTTGCATTAGAGAAGACCACAACGGAATTAAGCAGACACATGTCTTTTTTAAAGTACTTTAGCCTTTTTTTTTAATTTTAACTTTTTTGTTTCTTTTATGTATTTGTATTTGTTTATAAATTTACGAAATATAGTTAAGGGTGTGTGTATTTTGGGGGAAAAAAAAAGAGAAACTATTAGTTAAAAGAAAGCAGTCTTCATTAGAGAGGAAGTTTTTAACTGGTAGAAAAAACAAAACGATGCTTTTGTCTTTTTCTGAAAACACAGGGTGTAAGCCGACATTTTGCCTAAACATAGGTGTTTGAGTAAAATTTCGTCTAACATTTAATAACGTCTTTAGACTAATAATTCGAATTGAAATGATAAATTGTCTAAAGAAATTGGATGAACACTCAAAGAACACAAATCACCTCAGAAAAATAACAAGAGTAAATAAAGAGAATTTTAAGATAATTATTTTAAAAAATGAGTGTGTATCTTTTCTTCTCAAATGGAGAAAATTTATAGTATGTTGGGATTGGGAATCTAATTCTCCTATTAATTTGAGAGTTTATTCTCTCTTTAATTACAATGTGGCTCTTCACTTTTGGGTTTTAAAACTGATAAAATAACAAATATAAATAAATTTTCAATCTTTTAATGTCTTCAAATGGCGTCGGTTGCTCCTCTTGATGACACTATGTGAACTTTAAACTTTAGGCGTGGGACATTCGGCTCAGGCGAGTTTGGACTCTGGAGATATTGAGCTCAGGCAAGCTTGGGCTCAGAGATATTGGACTTGGGTGAGCTTGAGCTCGAGAGAGATTGGACTCAGTTGAGTTTGGGCTCCGGAGAGCTTTTGACTCCAAATTTATTACGTCTTTAATCCTTCTTAAAATACCGCCCTACAATAGGGATTATTTTTTGCAATTATCGTTTATGAAAATCATTATCCGACCTCTCTTAACAATGTCAATAAGGCAGATGATCAAATTTTGGAACCCCAACATTATGAGACTTCTTTAGCCAATAGACTGGACAGCATTGGACTCAGGGTAGTTTGCCATTTTTTTTAAGACCAAAATAGATTGACCAAAACAATAACATATGAATGAAGCGTCTTTTTGCATATGATAAATTTAAGACATTTGACTAAACAACTTTGTCTGATTATCATCCTAGATTCGGAAGGAAATCATTCTCTATGAACTGCATGCCAAGAAAGGCTTTTAACTCCCCCCCTACGACAACCAAAAAAAAAAAAAAAGTAAATACCAATTAATTTGTCACCATTTTGTTCAAACATAAAAGAAGTCTCCAAAAGAAAAGATTACCTAGTCATATATAGTGTGGCCAGCAATATATATGTCGAACATTTGGCTCTGTTCATTTCACCGATTCGAGTTTATAATTTGAGTTTTGTTACAGTAAACAGCTTTAAAAAATAATCACATTTAACTTTTTTGCTATAGTAAAAAGCTCTCATACAAAGTCATATCTCAACTCGAATTAAAAACTCAAATCAGCGAACTAAACGAGCCTTTAATATACTTTCTCGTGCCACTTTAGAAGATAAAATTCAATTATTCTAAAAGTTGTAACGGTTAGAAGAGACACAATCTAATCACATCCGTCAACCATGACCAGGCCCGAGAACGTGATCTAGAGTGACAAACTATCTGAAGATCTTAGAAAACAAAGACGAGGAAAGAAAGGAGATGGATTGAAGGAAAAGCTTATATAAATTATATAATTTATCTGTCATGTATATATGTGATTGCTGAGTGGTACTGCTGTTGTAAATACGGTTATTATAGGCCTCGTTATTGTCTCCGGTTCTCTATGTAATTATTGTCCAATCTAGTAGTTGACGTAAACGTTCACACGATTTTGTTGGTAAACTCTCTGAAGAATATAAATATTGTTGTAATTTTCCATGGTTACAATTATATATTGTTCTGTTTCTGCATTCCTGTGCTCAGATATGCGAGGAAAACGACGTTCCTAGTAGATCATACGTACGCTTTCAGTACTATTAACTATTTGTGTCCATTAATATTACACAACATTTTATAATTATAGGTAAACAGCATTATATATTAACCCTTAAAAGTATATTCATCATTTAGATAAAACATTTTGACAATCAAACCCTTACATTAGGATCGTGCGTAGATAGGGTATGTTCTTAAAAATGATACCGGTTAATCACATTAAAGCATTCCAAGGGAAAGACAAAATTTGGGAAAGATTTTTCGGGAAAAAAAAATCCTTTGCGTATAATGAGTATTACATATGTACATCATATATATATATATATATATATA